TGAAGTCACTATTACTTTTTTTTTACCAAACATAGAATAGGAATTAAAAATGGAAACCTTTGACTCGAAATAAGATGGTAGCATCTTGAAACATTTAGAAAATAGTAACTATAGGATAAGATAAAATACTTTGCATTCATTTAACACACACTTTGTGAAAATAAAATGGTTATAAAAGAACACATTTTTATGTTTTTAAAAAAGAAAAAAAAGATAATAATATGTTAACAGATTTTTTAACAATATTTTTGACAAAAACACGTCATTTTCTCATTAGATTTAGAATATGTCATTACATAATACAATAAAAAATAAATAATGAACAAGTGAAAAAATAATACGTATATTTGTGTTAAAATGTTGTAAAAAAATGTGTTAAAATATTGTTTTTCAGAAAAAAAAGAAAAAAAAAGATAATAAGTGGACACAAGAAATATCATTTTGAGTGACAACCATGTATGTGATTGAATCCAATGAAAGAATGTAAGCAGTTATTTGGTTGTCATGCACATGTCAAGAACCTCTGCAAATTTCTCATACATGTTCTGTTTCAAGAACATCCTCTGCACCTTTTTTCTTCCTTCTATCCCCATTTTCTCTCTTGCAAAGCTGTTTTCAAGTAAAAACCGGAGATGCTCTGCAAGAACATGGTTCCCTGTGCGACCAATAGGATGAAGGAGACCTGTCACATTATGTTCAACAATTTCTTGCGTTCCTCCAGCATCTGTTCCAAGCACCTACTCCATATTTTTAAGTGAAAACAATGAATGTCAACATTCATTTCTACTATTCAATAAACTTTCCACATAGATAGACACATCACACCTAGAGATAATCAAGTATCAACTACCTTAACCGAATCATAGAAATAAGCAAGGTATATATTGTCATTATGCAGTTTATAGTAATTTGAGATTGTTTTTTGGTTTCAAATCTCATAACCAAGTTCATCTAGATGGAGGAACTGATGAATTTTCGCCCGCAATTTAGATCGCAGGCGAAAAGAAAGGAACAGACAAGAAGCCATTCGGTAAAAACAATGAGACACGGTCCAAGGAACTAATCAGAGGACCGCGATTTCATCAATACACGTTGTTGAATGTTTTACGGTAGGTGCTAAAATGTTTCTTCAGGTCCAGTTGGTTCATACTATACACAATGCTATTGGCATTAAGTGAGACTAGTATGGACAACATAACTCTTTCTTTAAATATTGATACAAGGGCATATTCAAATGTAAAAGGTTGCTCTTTGACAACAGCAATATAAGGATAACTAATTTTCCATTTCTAAACTCAATCAATGAGCAATGTTTGAAAGGATAACAAAACTACCATAGTATGTGATTACAAGACAAGGGAAAGCATATTGGAAGCCATACCGGAAGACCAAATGCCATTGCTTCTATAGTCACCCTTCCAAATGTTTCTCCCAATCCCTTTTCACCATTTTGAAAAAGAAAAAAACTTAGTATGTTTTTCAAGCAATGTAATAAAAATAGATGCTATGCAGAGAATGTTTTATACAAATTAAACATGATTTACCTGAGAGTTTATGACATAAACATCTGCAGCAGAGTAAAGTGAGGCAACACGTGTAGTGGCTGAGGTCCACAGAACTGACTTTGACAAGTTTGAATGGTGTGCTAAAAATCTTAGCAGACCCTTAACATAATCCACTTTGTTGCTCTTAGATCCGACAGAACCAATGAGAATTTTGAGAGATTGTGCAGTTGTTGCATTGTTGTTGGACAACAATTCCTTGCTGTAAACACAAAAACATGCATCAATAGTCCAATAGATAAATATACTAGATAGACCACCCTATAGTTTTGAGATTTATGTACCTTTTTGTAAATGTGCTTGAGATATTGTTGAAGGCTACACTACTATTATCATGGTGTTCCCCATCATTAAATGACACTGGCCTTTTCTTATTATCATGGTGCAATGGTTCATCTTCTACAATTGTTCTTGCGGATTCAAGAAGAAATAGCTGACCCTTCCCACGGTTGATGCTACTCAGACTCATAACAAGCATATCATTATCATTCAATCCCATTTCTCTTCGAACTGAATCTCTCAACAACTTTCTTCTCTCATCCATTTTTGCAGCACTGAAGGATGCAGTATTGTGTGTAGAGGGAATGCCTGCTACAAAAGCTAGTTCATCATTGACAGACAATGGAACAAGTGCTGGCTGTAATCTCAATTTTATGCTTTCTTCTTCACACCATTTTTGCCATTGCTTAGATTGTGCTTCAGAGAGAAAAATCAATATTTTCACTCTCTGCAACATATCCTTTGCACGATCAAAATACTCTCTTCTGTTTTCCATAATCCACCAAGCAACTTTACTTGCTCCAACGGGAAAATGTTCAATGTATTGTTCTGGAAATATGTAACGGTGTTCAAGTAAGAGAAGATGTATACAACAAGTACATAGTAAGAAACAATTGTTCATATTATTATGAACCACCTCATGATATATAATTGAAGTTTTCAAAATAGGTATACTCAACCACTTTTGCTATCTTTCAATGCCAGAAGTCCTGTGCCATATTAGTTTTAGAATTAATATGAGGATTTTCAACTAAGGCTCTGATATTTTGGCAACTTTTATGCTGGTTCTGCATTATTTTCAGACACTGCATAAGGAAAAACTCAAGCAATGTGTTCATACCAATCCATGATGCACAGACAGCTGATCCAGCAATGACAAGATCTGCCTTGGCTGCAGTTTTGAAGCTGTGATATGCTTTGTCATCAAGCACCTTGATTTGTCTCCTAGCAAGTTCTTGCATCAAACCACCCTTCCTGCTAAGCACCACAGCATGAACAGAAGCCTCACAACTCAAGAGTTCAGTTGCCAACTCCATCATTGAAAGTGGAGCTCCAGTCATGGAAAGCTCATGAAATATCAGAACAAACCTTCTTGACCAAACAAGGCGCGCAAATTTCCCTTTGGTGTTACAGGTTTCATAACGCCCCTGAGGACTCCACTGCAGAATTCTATCCTCTAACGAACCAAATGGACCAACAAGGAATCCATAGGTGGAATTCCTTGGGGGAATCTCTGGCTACAGCTCCTCCAAACCACCACTCTCAAGTTTATGTTTTCGCCTCCTCTTACCTCTCAAAACATGCATTGGTCGCCTTCTTCTTTTCCTTGTGCTAGCTTTAACCTCAGGTAGAACACCATATTCTTTCTTGGCCAAAGCCACATCTATTGGTTTGTTCACTACTTGTTCGATTTTAACAGATAAGGAAATGTTTTTGGCAATCAAATCATGATGCTGATTCTGTTCATCATAGGATTTTGTTGCATCCCTTTGTCTGCTTCTAAAGCCTGAAAATTCCTCCTCCTTTTCATCATGTGCCCACCTAGACTGTACAAAAAATCCAAGATAAGCCCAAAGGGTTATCAGAAGCAGCCATAACAGTATCCGGTTGCTGCCGTAGCACTGTGCAACACCCTTGCTTTCTCTTCTTGGTGTTAAGGTAGAATGTGGTCTCTGAAATGAAGGGGAATTTTGTGGAGTTGACCTTCCAGATGACGAAGATTTCAAACAGATACCTGATCTTGCTGAAGAGTTCTTCTGCTTTGTAAAATTTGCATGAACTTCTCCTTTGCTGCTGTTGCAGTCCTCCATTACCAGTATCGTTAACTATATCATTAAAGAAGCTTGAGACCCACTTGTAAATTCACTTCCTTTTCAGGATCAGTTCTTTCAGCATTGTTGCTTCTACCATATATAGGAAGTTCAAGTTTTACAAAGAAAGAAAGTGAAAGGAAAAATGGTAAAGAAAAGGTGTGTTACAGTTCTTGATGCATTTTGTGTTCTTCAATGGTTTAAAGATGTGATGGTACTCCAAGATTTCTGCTTTCAGGGTCAACGACTATTCTGGAATTGCTCCTTCATCCGAAAACGAGAGTTCAACAACTGAACAAACAAAAGGCTGAAGAGAAGAGACAGGGGTAGGAGTTTCACAGAGAACGAATGCACGTGCGTTGCACATGTATGGGGTTGGTCAACCATAACAAACTCAATTCTCTTTCTGACTAAAGCGTAAATAATCAATCCAAAAAACTTTTTATATCTCTAATTTATAATTCTTTTTATATATCTAACTTTTTTTTATCTTTTCCGTATGAAGAATATTTTAAAAAACTTGTATTGTCTCATTGAGATTTAAGAATAATTTTTCATAAATCATTGAATTAATTATTGGAGAGCTCGGAGGTCGCAACAACTTTCATGTGCATGTTCAGAGGTCACATCAGAGAGAAAATGATGATGAAAGGTTCTCTCAATTTATATTATAAAGTAATTTAATTATTATTCGGTGAATATTTTCATTGAATAATTAACAAAAAAGAGTAAAATTGTTCCAACTTAATAATAGCTGGTTAGAATAAAATTGTTTTAAATATGATATTGAATAAGGATGATATATAAACAGCTAAGTAGCGAATATTCACGTGCCATAATTGGCATAATAGTTGACCGACTTTATCTGTATTATACCTATAAATTCTTGTAAATAATGTAATGAAGCTAGTTTTCTTTAGTTAATTTGGAAAAATAAGAATTTAATCAAATATTCGACAGACATTGTATAAGTTTTCATGTCACTGATTTGCTCGAGACTTTTTTAATAGGTGTAAATGGGATATTTTCTTTTTACTATTCTGTTAAGGAGAAAATAAAAAAATATTCCAAGACAACAATAGTCTCAAAATTTGAAACTTTATGATATAATAGAAATATTGGACCCTCTTCAGTCGAATGATAAAATTGAAAGGACGAAAAAACTACATTTTTTTGTTCTTTAATAAATTAAAACCTTCAAAAAGAAAATTGAATAATATAGTTACAACATTAGATTGAAAAATATTTACAACTTATTTAAAAGAAGAATAAAAGTTTCTTATCAAAAGTTATAGATACTGTAGGAAACAAGCAAAACTGCATATTCAAGTAACTAAAACATCAACACTATGATAGCAAACAATTGAATTTTGTTTAGAAAAGGAACAAAACATTAAAATGTCTGATAAGCTTATATAGATGATATAAGCACATGGTCAAAACCAGATGAATACAAAAACCTTTACATGAGAAAAATTTCACCCACAATGTAATCAGCTGCTGCAAAATGATACCTATAGCCTTTCCTCTGTTCTTATAGTTCTAGAAGCCTGCGTGTGTTTCACACATGCTTCACTAAGAAACCAAGCTGCAGGAAGAACCTGGAAAGAACCCAGGAATTGTCAGTATTTTCTTGATCAAAAGGGTATAGAGATTTGACTCCTCAAATATGAGAGACTCACTTTAGAGAGGAAATTTACTCACTTTAGAAGAGTCAAATCCACCAACATTATAACTAGTAATTATTAATCCATACCTTCCAATTTAACAAGTACTTCTACGATGGGAACAGCAAGAGCAGGTGTTATATTGCTGTAGTGTAGAGAATAGGTAAGGGGTAGGAAAATGAAACAGATAAGTATTCGAAAATACCAACAAAAAAGTTGAATGATGAAAATTCAACTTATGGTAGCTACAAGGTTACCTGAAAATTCTGAAACTTATGGTAGCCCAAAGTGCTCCAGATGAAAAGCTAGAGAACTAAGGGCCAGGAGGAGAAAGGCCTGTCAAATAACAAAATTACCAAAACTCAGAATTTGAAGCAATAATGGTAATAACAACAACGAAGATCTTCACTGGGAAATAACAAACCTTTATCTGTTTACTTTAAACAAAGTGCACCATATTCACTGACCAAAATTCATCTCTGAGTATCTGCATAATAGAGCATAACCAACATTCATTATTAAATATCTGTACACAAACGGAATGAGCATTTTCCAGCTTCCCTACAAAGTGACTACACAGCACTTAAAGTAAAAATCAAGTAAAAGAAGCGGTAGTTGTGCAGTACCATTGCCATGTCCACAACAATAATAATTAAAAATACTTAAGATGGTTTTATCAATTCAACTTGCCTTCGGGGTTTATTCTGCCTCTGTCCAAACTCTTCACTTGCAAGCTCTACAGAAAACGAATAAAAAATTATAATGTTGTTAGTAACCAAGGGCAATTGATAGCGTATAAGAGGAAATGGAACTTGAATATTTACCAGATTTCTGAGGTGGCTTCAATTCATTATTAGCTTTGTTAACACTATGGTCCTTGCTGCACAGGTTGGATAACAAAAGAAAATAATAAATCAAGCCTCTAGCAATATGATTTAAGAACATTGAAAAGGAAACGGTGGTAAGTACTAAGTGATATGAAAATATATCCCAATGCTACAAAACTTGGACAACCTTGAGGTACCCATTGCAGAGGCCTGTCCAGATTGGTGACTGCTTGCACCATCAACAGCAAGGTATGGGTATGTAGCCCCTAAAGCTCCTGCAGTACCAGCCAAGACTGGTAGCCTAAACCAAAGGAGGATGGAAATATTATTATGGGTTCCAATAGAGAGGGAACAAAAAGGAATCAGAACGTTTATCCATTTTAAGTAAAAAAGGAACTATTTAACACAAATGAGCAAGATGTTCTTGTGTGATCCTCTTCTAAAATATCTGCTATCATGGTTTGTTGTCATTGATATACACTATTCTTATAGCAAGTAGAGACAGATTAAGACCATGACAAAAGGCACTAAAACATGTGAATTGCCAACTCCTAAAAACATTACTCCACATTAAAATTGGAGATTTACCCATACCATGTCATTTCTGATTTTCCCAGTTGAGGCTGAGCAACATATCCAGGGAATGCCATGCCAACAGCAGGAACTCCTATACCCCCAGGATGCTGGCCCCCAAATTGCATAACTGCATTCCATCAAAATCTAGTCAAAATCAGAAAATCCGTAACAAACAAATTAACAGAAAATGATAACTGCTGGTCTTGTTCAGAAAGGACTACAAGCAAACTAAAAGAAACATGGGTGTTAACACCAGAGCCTTTGTGGTAATGTTTCCCTTTTAACAATAAATAGAAGAATTACTTAGTTTTCTACACAGCATAGCTCTATAACTTACAACTAATTTCGCATGAGAAATAAGGAATTGCATTCCAACATCAGATGTTTTAATAACAAATAATAGGTAGATTGAATATAAAGTTTCCACAAGGTCAGTAATGTAGGTACAAACCCGGCAAGAAAGCAGGGAAGTTTGGATCTCCATGGCTAACACCCACATTTCCAGCGGTGCCTATTACTTGTGCCCCACCATAAACAAAAGCTCCCTGTCCTGCGCCATGGGAAGCTCCCCTCCCCTTCCCAACCAAAGCCCCTTTGCCTTTACCAGATTCTGACCCTGAATCCAATTCTCCAGAATCATGTGAATTAATTGGTGTGGCTGTTTTGGAGGGTGATGACAATGGAGACCCACTGCCAGGTCTTTGGCCCAACTGTGGGGCAGTAGCTTGCACAGAAGTTGAATTCCTACCTGGAACAGAACTTGTCTGAATAGCCTGGAATTCTGATGGAGAAATTTTATTATGTGAGGAAGAACGCTGAAAATTTGTATGTACTGGGATTGATACTCCCCTCCCAGTCCCAGAAGCCCTTGGGTGAGGAGATTGAGAAGCATTGACTACAGAAGAACCAGGTCGTGCCATACGCACATTGTTCAAAGGCTTTCCAACAGATCGAGGGGTGGATTCATTTATATACAACTTTGACATGCTGATGGAATCAACAACATTCTTTCCCTGAATCAGAGCATTCTTTTGTTGAACTGGAAAACCCTCATCCACAGCAACAGGACCAACATTCCTGCTACTGCCACCTGTTTTCACCTCCCTTTTTTGTGCCAAATTAATATCATTGCTGGAAGAGCCTGAGGGGTAATATGGTGGGGAAGCTGAATTCAAATTTGATGCCAGCACTTGATTTTTAGAAGGCACAGGGTCAGATTCTGCATGGGAAGAAGGTGTCGAAGTCCTCTCCAAACTAACATTTGAATTTCTCTCACGAGATTTCCCAGATCTAGGAAAACAAAATAATTCGTATCAGAATGTCACTTGAGGCTATAGGTCTCCAGTTTCCAGCAAATTTTATAAAATGAAGCTTGTACTTACTGTTTATTTTGCACTTGGGAAGATGGACCATTGATTTTGTTGCTACGTTCATACTTTTGGGGGCCTCTCCCTCTCACAACACTCTTAGGCATCTGATTTTGATTGCTACTGCTATTATAGCCTTTCTTACTTCCTCGTACGTACCCTCTATAATCAGTGCCTCGACCATTACCACGGCCATGATAATTACCCTTAGAAGGTCTCCTCTAAATTTTAGACAGAAAGCATTAGAAAAGGAGCGCTATAAAAATGACAATAGAACTAAACGATTGACCATAAAGCACTTTAAAGATCATTACCTCCTCATAATGCTTTTCATGCAAAATTTGCTCAAATTTATCATGACCCCATTTTTTGTCATCTTTGGATTCCCACAGTCTCCTTCCTCCACCATGTATCCGTCTAAAGAGATAAAAAAACAAGACATAATTAAAATACAAGGACAATATTTACATTGTCATCCAATCATATCATAAATTGCCAAGACAGTAAAATTGTTGAATTTTCTAAGAACTATTTTAAAAATAACATCTAAGGTGATTCCAAACTGGTTGAAACTAGAGAGTATTCACTATCAGCGTATCAAAGACAATGCATTCTGACTAAGTTGAGCACATTTTCTTTAACATAGATCACAAGAAAAAGTAATGCACAAGCCGAGTTGGACCACACAGGGTGACAAAGCTGAATATCCAGCACTAAAACTGAGACCATGATTAAGCTGAAACTACCATACAACAGGAGTCCTAGCCAGCTCAACAATGACATTCCAAGTTAGGTATTAATGAATCATTACATTGTATGCACATATTCCAGAGGTTATGTTTGGCATAATGAAAAGAATTAGAAGTAAACATCACATACCTGTTGCGGGTACCAGCATTGTCCCCAAATCGGTCATCGTGCATGTAAAAAGCTCCGGCTGTGGGAACCGCAAATGGATCAGACTCCTTTTTCTCCTCAGAATGGTCCTCGGCAAAATCTTCCAAAGGGGGTCTGACATCATCATCAGATTCCTTAGCCACAATCACTGGACCCTCAACCTCAACCCCCCCACTTGCACCCTTCTCCTCGTACACTTCTTCAACTTCCTCCTCCTCCTCTTCTTCTTCTTGCAATTCTTTTTCTCCTTCTTCAACATCATCACCATCATTAGCATAATCTTCAACACCTCCTTCATCATCTAAGTTATCAGAACGAACCTCTATTCTACCAACTTCCCTCTTATCAGTGACTTCTTCCCCTTCGGCTTCTTCGTCATCGCTGGCTTCGCGCCTCCGCATTGTTAACAGTCTCTTTGCATCTTCGGGATCACTATCATACTCAACGTTGTTTTCTTCAACCACGGTAGCCATCAGCACGGAAAGAGCAACACCCGATAAACCCCGACCAAAACCTAGAAATTTCCTAACAGAAGCCCCCACAAAGCGGAAACTTTACAAAAACACAAATTTCAACAAATACCAAACGCCAAAACCCCAAAGTGGTAAAATAAGTAATCAAATCCGGAATTTTCCCCTCAATAATCGAAACCCTACATGAGAAGTTTCTTCAGTGAAATCGGAAAAGCCCAAAAGTTGAGAGATTACGAGAAGATATAAACGGCAAAGGCAAGTGTGAATCTAAGAAAGTTGAAGCGGAAAAAAGAGTGGATTTTGACGGGTTGGGCTGCGTTGTGTTGTAAGAAAACGTAGTAGAAGGATTTGAGTGTGAGAAGAAAGAATTGTAAAGAGAAGAGAGGAGTTAAGAACTTAAAATAGGTGACACTGTTGGGAAGAATGATTTATGTGATAATATTTTTGGGGAACACTGCCTTTATTTCAGATTTGGAATCTCATGAACCCTGAACTTCTAACACTGAGATCATCAAAATATAAAATAAGATCATTTGAAAAAATTGGAGTAATCCAAGTGCTGAACAATAAAGAAGAAAAGACCCATTACAATTCATCACTTGTTTTATGATTTAAAAAACATTATATTAGACAGGATTATTCCTACATATTAATTTGATCGGATTTTATTTTGACTTGTAACTAAAAGATTGATATTTTTTTTCTCAATGATTTCAAGCTGCTTTAGTTATATTTCAATTGTATTTTCATGCAATATTTTTGTCTCTATGTATGAAAAACAATAAGATCCTTTAAGTACGGTTAAGATTCATGATCATGTGTATGAAAAACGAACTAGTGTATTATGTATCATTGGATAATCAATAATAAAATGACACATTATTAAAAAAATTGAACAAAGATAAAGAAATAATTATTTATCCAGTTTGGTTATAATCTATTTTAGTTTTACTTTTCAAAAGTTAAGACACAGTGAAGTATAAAGAAAAACAACTAATAAGCTTTGGGTCCTCAATTTCTTTATTCGGTTCTTCTTTTGAAGACTTTGATTATATATTTTGATTGTTTTTACTTTTAAATTAGTGTATTTGAATCCATTAGTCTTAATTTATATATGGGTTAACTATCTGTAGCACAAATTAATGTTTTGTACATGAAAAGTGATATCATTGATTGCATGTTTTATCTTGAGCTGTGGATGTTGTTATTTGTTTGATTAAATGTAGCCATGAATATATGTTGGGTCTATAAAAAAAAGAGATTAATTTGATGTGATACAAATAATCATAAAATATGAATTCAATTATATTAGAGATTATTTTTTATTTAAAATCTTACGATAATAAATTAATAGATTAATAAGTCTTTTATTTTTATATAATAATACTTTAGTTTCTTATTTTTATTCAACGTGAGAATTAGATTCACGTTTTATTCGTAACAAGATAATATGTGATTTAGCATGTCATGGGATTTGTATAAGTTTTTCTGGAAAAGTTTTAAGTCATGTAGATCATTTGATTCCAGGCAGTGATGATGCATTCGAAAAGACAAATATGCAAAATGTCTAATATTTACTACTACTTTTGCATTTTAAGTAAAATATTTTACCACTCAAGTTTCAAGTAATAATGATCATGAATCTTAAAAAGAAAAGTATTAAATGTTGACTGGTAAGAGATTTTAAGTAGCCTATTATAAATTTCAACTTATTTTGTCCTTAAATAAGTTAATCTTAGAGTATTATGATAAAATAATATATTGTTAGGATTTCTATTTATTTTTTAATTAATAAAAAAAAGTTCTATTAGGTAAAGAAAAAGCGAAAACAATATGGATACTAGATAATTATAATCCTTAATCTATTTTATGAAATTATCTAGTTTTATACAAATACTAGATTTTACAAATTATTTAATTAAAAATGTGACCCTTTAAAGGTATCCAATTTAAACATCAACTGCAACCATTATAATACACTTTTAGAGATATTCATAATTGTGTCTAACGCATTAGTGGACAAACTTGCGTAGCATAAGTTTGTACTGAATATTGAAGGTAGACCTCTTGCATGAGATAAAACAGTGTTATTGTTTCTTTGAAAAGTTTAAGACGGAAAATAAAATATACCTAGCATTCGTTGTTATCTTGACCTCATCCATCCCTTACACAACAAAAAGTTTACAGGAAAAGTTTAGCATGGATTATACCATGATTGCTCAAGCAACAAAATGTTACAAAATCCCAAGCCAAATTGCCGTACAAAATTATGGAAAAATTGGTGATGTGTTCTGAGATTTGGTCACCGTCTACTGAAAATGGACATAATTTTATAATTTCCTCTCTATTTCCCAAAATATACAGCCTAATTGTAATAAAGTGTATGATACATTAAAAAGAACAAAAATAGATTGCAGGTACTCAGGTGATAGTAATGATGGTAAAAGCAGCTAGTTGTCAAAATGGGAGTTAGGAATGGAACTTGAGAAGCAATCACCCGAGATAAAGCTTCAATTTTCGCACAGCTCCAACCCAATGCTTAGACTGTCGGGTTCCATTATTTTTACCTTACTCTTCGTCCGCCTCATTACCGTTGATGAGGATTGCACCATCCGTAGAATCGGCATCCACTACAACTGCCTCCTCTTGGCTTCCTTCCTCTCCATTTTGTTCCTCATGCTCATCTGGATAGTGCTCTTCCCCGTTATGTTCAGTCAACTGGGACAAAAGAACATAAAAACAACATAAACACACTAACACCACTGACAAATCCAATTGGGGTTATAGGCTATCCTTTCTGTTGCAGCAAAAGGACACTATCACTTTAGGAGAAAATGTTGAGAACTTATGCACAGTGTTAGCTATACTTTATTTTACCTCGTGGATAGAGTCCCCATTCTCAAGAGGTTGATCCCCTTCTTCTACCTGCATGTTTCTGAAAGCTTCCACAAGGGTGATATATGATTTATCAGCCTGATTCACATACTCTGATGCAGGAGGGTAAACACCTCTATAATAAAAGGAAAAGTTAGTACAAAACATCTGTTAGAAGTTTAGCACACCATACAGAGTAATACAAAAATGACCAAAGTTGCAAGATACTTGTAAAAAAAGTACGCATTTCCCCACTGACCTTGTTTCTGCAGCTTTAGATTCAACAGCAAGCGCAACTTGCCAATCATCAAACAAATTAGGATACTCCTCAGGATCAGCCAATGATTCTGCGGCTTTTGAATTAACCTGTGCGTGCACATTAACGAATAGATATAAGAATTTGTATTTCTAATACACATTAAACCTGCCAATATGATAAGAACCCAGAACATGGAAATGGACTGTGAAGTTCCTACCTAATATCACGAGAACAGCATAAATTTTAGACTGTTCAGTTATAATTAAATCTGATATATATAACAAATTACCTTACTGAGATCTTTTCTCCAAATTGCCACTATCTCTGGGACCTTGCTCGGGAGATAGGATCGAGCCATTAAAGCAGCCTCTGGAATCCGATTGCTGTCAAAATTATAACACAGCTACATCAAACTGCAGTCTAACTTAACCCTTTCTCTCTCAGTACAGCAATATCATAAACAAGAGATTACAACCGTAAAATATTACCTTTCCACCAACAACTGAAGACAGTCCTCAAGTTTACCCAACGTGAATAAGCAAAGGAATGCAACATTATTTTTCCCTTGCTCTTTAGCAAGAGTTGCAAGTTTTGATATTCCTTCAGCATCCCCTAAAGAAGAATATAGCAGCAATAATCCACTCAAATCCATAGCGAATTTTAAACACTCTTCAGCCATTTCTAACTGCAAGAACAAATAATACAGTGAGCTGCATAAGACCAAGAACGATACCCAATACCAATCAACATCAAGTGTCCGGAATCATTACCAATTACAACAAGAATAAAATAAATATTCAACTTCCTAATCATGCATCAGAATCAGCACTGAGCTCTGGTACAATTGGAACTTTTGAAGGAGATGGAATGCAGTGTTCATAATGAATTGCCTTAGGATTGAGCAATAAATTAATGATGCTTTACTTTGTGGAAATTTTAATGAAGAAATGGAAGAGTGCACAGTATTAATTGGGATCCTATTGTAATGTTTGATAATTTGATAATTTCCTTCTTTTATCCCATTGTAATGTTTTCCATCACTGAAACATCATATCTAACAAATATCAGATGATGAATAACTCATAAAACATAGGCATTTTCGATCTGAACAGCATCACAAACACATCATTCAATACTTTTTTGCTAAGAAAATGGGTGCACGCTTCCCGCATATCCATCTAAGCACATAGTACAAGACTCAACAAGTATTGGTGTAATGTAAAATAACATACTATAACAACGCTGTTAATTCTGGAGAACTTAGGGTTCATAGTTTGGCACAAATCAAATCTCTGAATCCTCTTAAGCATGGTCTTATTGAGCACTATATTTAGGAATGTAATTCAGCCAAACGTTAAATCATAGAAACTCATTTGATAGAGAAAAACACCTTTCCAGTAGACATAGCTAATTCTCCCAATTGCTTCCATTTAGACTCACTCTGCACTTCAGTGGCTATACCCTGCAAAAGAATAATGAAAATATAACCACACAAGTTAGACTGATGCACATGAGAATGCAAAAAACTCGAAACCCAAGTTTTCATTTTCAGAAGATAATATATACTCGTTGGAAAATATGTACTTGTGCATTTACCTTAGCAACCTCTAATCTTCCAAGCTGAATGGCTAGATCAAACCTGTAGTCAGGGTCAGTAGCTACTTCAAGAGCATCCTCTATCATTCCTCGTGATTCCAGGAAACGAGCCACACTAGTGAAGAAAACAAATAAACAATTGCAATTACGGTGGATGTCACATCTGAACATCAAACATTGAAACTGTAGTCCAAGTGAACACCATACACAGAAAATTATTCTAAGTCAAGGACACCAGGAAAAAAATGCAGCATATATTCATTTCTTAAAGAAAGCAACCAATGATAAATAATGAACAAGCAAGACTAGTGAGTCCAGAATATATCACAGTAAGGTATCATCATTAACAAGCACAAAAAAAACTTGAACACGAGTCAGATTATCCACTCCAATTTATAAGCTGGTTGGTATTTTACTCACGGAATCAGGCCAGAACCTTAATTGCAAAAAACAAAGGGCAAGTAGTGCATGAAAATTATTGGAATTGTTAATTGTTTTTGGTAAGTAAATTTCCATAATTTTATAACACAATGCAATACAAAAAGAAAAGCTTTTCACAAAACATATCAAACATAATTTCTAAATAATGAAAGTAAAAGTCATTTTGTAACAAAGTAACAAAAAATATCTACTACCTGTTATGATGTTCTTTAGGAATTGATGGTAGAATTTCATTGGCTCTTTCTAAGTCACCACGCATGACAAGTGTCTTGTACTCAATCAAGCTTAAAAGTAG